CCCTCACCTCAGCTCACCGTGGTAGTATCCTCTGTAGTCGCAGCCCCTGTCCGCGAAGAAGAACCCCTCGTCATTACACTCGATTGACAACTTCCTACAGGTTTATCACAACATAAACCGCGGCCTCCACAACACCAACTCCCCTACCTATTTTCCTCTTGTTCGCCTTATCCTCCTCATCCCCCAGACACCCTCCCACCAGCTCGCTGTCCGACACGAATCCTCCATACCTACACCCACTTCCAAGAACCCTCATCCCTTCCCCCCTCACTTTGTTTGAATATCGTCCAAATCCTCTACACTAGGCCACAAGGAGCTCATCGTTTTCAAATGCCAAATACTTCGACACAACTGCAGTTCCCCCAACCTCGACAGCGAGTCGCCCCCACAGTCCACCCGCTCGACTGAGGCATCAGTGTTGGAGGAATACGTGTTCGCTTTCCTCAGGAGTTTATATAAGATTTCTGGTAAAAGTGTACAGAAACCCATAAAGATTTCCTCACAATTTTCATATTTCTCCACAGCAGCACTAGTAATAATGACCATAAGCCCCAACAGCTCACTCAGTAATTTCTTCAATCTCCTCCGCAACTTCACCACATACAGCCTCAACGGTAAGCTCCCATATATACGTTCCGTCCACTGACACTGTGAATGATAACTGCCGACGACAAAGATTCAAACCATGCCCAATTACGACCCCCTCACAGTGCTCTGCCGTGCCTCTGTATACTCCCATGTGTAGTGACCAACGCATACAGGCCGGCCACCACCGCGGAGGGCCCCTCGAAACACCATATCCTCTTCTCTTTATCCATAACCTAACCCCAAGGTTGGAGTAGGAATATATGTTTAGTTTCCTCAGCTAAGCTCGAGAGTTTCCTCACTAATTATACAAGTTTACACTTTGAAAACCATGCAAATTACAAACGATTTTGGGTAGAAATGTACAGAAATCAAAAATATTTCCGTGTGAATTTTCATACTGTCACCAACACATCCAGTTGACCACGTGCATATTTCCCCACACTGCCCTATCCCCCCTCCCCACCCACCAGCCATCCCGTAAGCAGACGCTTCCTCTGCTCCTCATTCACCTCCACTAACCTCGATAATGTACCTCCCATCACCCTCTTATTGTAGTCCTCCATAAACTCCACCAATGCCCTACACCAAGCCTTACCACTCCTTCAACAACTCCTCCTCCTCCTACCTTGACCCCGCCCTAGCTACTTTATAACCATATACCACACCTATTCCCAATCATACCGACAACACCCTAAGATACCACCTACATAGTCGGCCGATCCCTTCCAAAGGTGCTGGTAAATCACCCAACGTCTTCAATGGCCCCGCCGTCCTCACACTATACCGAACAGTAGTACCTACACCCATCCCTTTCCTCCCCTCCCCCTCCTCCCCTTACCATGCTCTAGCCATTCCACTAACGGCAGCCTCCTACTCCTCCTCTCGCCGAGAGACTCACCCCTCATCGAGAGTATCTTCGAACAATCAACAACCTCATCCATCCGACCTGCATCAGAAGATACCCCCCCCCTATAACGAACCCTTCCCCCACCAGCATTAGTTCTCTTTCTAGCAGCATTCTTCGGAGGAACCACCACCGCCACCCCACTACTCTCCACTGAAAAATAGCCTACATATTTAGCGTTGACAAATTACAATTCCCTCCCCCCCGGGGCGAGTGTTTCGAATTTATACATACTATCGTATAGTTTCGAAATCATACCAAAATTCCGTCACATCCTCCCTTACCAGAACCCGGCCTCAACAGGTCCAACGTAGAGAGGCTAGCCGTACCTTAATACCGTCCAAGTACACAGGTACGGTCATACCCCCACTCACCAACAACCTCCTCTTCCTCCCCATCATCCTCCATGAGGAGCTGTAGTGTCGGCGCTGTAGACCCCTCCCGACAGGCTTCTAGATAATGCCGAGATGCGTACACACCCGGGAAGAACCTACCGGGACTCCTTCTACTCTAAAACTATAGGGGTTCGCAGAGCCATAGCGAATGATCCCATGCCCAATAGAGTGCAATCAATGGTCACAAACCATGGCAACACACTGAAGACCCTATTATCCATATCGTCCTCACTCGATATGGAGCCCTATACAAACCCTTGCACAGAGCTCGAGCAAGACCTTGCACAGAAACCCCCGAACAAGCCGCACAGAGTACACGTGAGTTCGATTCCTGGCTGCAGCTTCCGCCAACAACAAACAAAAAAACCAAATAGAAAAAAATGAAATTTCCGGAAATCTACATTTTCCACAATTTCGCGAATCTGAATCATGTTAACAATCGCATCAGAAGGAGCGGGAAATCCCCTACTACGCAATCTGAAATGGATATTCCAAATTCTGAGTTGCCGGACTCTTTTCATGTCCCCAAAAGACAACCCTGGCAGCCTTCAAATGTACCTGCCAGACCAGGTGGTGACACGTCGGCTCTCTGTCACCACTCAGTCACCCCTGGCGGGATCCTCTTAATAGCCGATACCCAAACCACCATCGGTCGAAGAGCATCATAGAGCTCCGAGGAAAGGAACTCCCCGGCACCCTCGACGACGGTGTAAATGGAAGTCCGCAGGGATCGAACCTCCGCGGGTTGGCCGATCAATAATGAGGCCAGGTAGACTGGAACTGAGAAGGCAAACCGCACCTTCTCCACATCGTTGACGCCAGCACGCAAGACTCTTGCAGAAACCCACCGCGTTCTGATTTAGTCTTAGCTTCCGCCTCCTCCTTCTCCCCATCATCCGACGTCCAGCTATCTAAATGGTGACGAAAAATATACCATCCAGTAATCGAACCAGAGTCGTTACCAGTGATGTTCACCCACATAACCGCGCTCGCAATTGTCTTAGCGACATCAAGATCCACATTGAAAGTCCACTCCTTCTCCCAGTACCGTCCACCTAATAAGCACTTCCTCCATACCGTCCCCTCCTCTTCTTACCTCCCTCCTCCCACTCCCCAACAGCATCACCACATTCCACCAAGGTCCACCCATCATTCACCAAATTAGGCCACTCTAGAGCTACCATAACCTTCCGAGTCCTTCCCTCCTCCTCCCCGGCACTCCCCACTGCCAACACCGACTCTCCTTCCTCCTCCATCATTCTTAGCCCCACCTTTACAGTAATAGAAACTAAAATTAAACACGCACTACCATTTTTTGCGCAATTTTTCTTCATTTCGCCTGCCACCGCAGCATTGTCCACAAGGACAAGATTTTATGAGTTTATTGTGACAAGGTCACAATAAACTCATGAAAAATTCAATTTCCATAATCGTCCCGCTGCGACCCCCATTCGTACCGCCAGAAGGCGCTTAACCTCTTACGATAAAGGAGTTTCGAATTGCGTTTATCTAGTGTATAAACTCTACTTGACAGTACCACTTAATGCGCGATTTTTTCCGAAAACGGAATAATTTACCCGCTTCATTCCCATCGCTACCTGAAGGCAACTTCTTCAGCGCTTCTTCAGTCCACTCCTCTCCATCATCTCTTCGTTTCCTCGGTACATGCTCCCAATTCCGCAGAGGATCGAATCCCCCCGACGACATTTCTCCCTTCTCATCTCCCATACTTAGTCCCCAAAATTCACAACTATGGCGCTCGATCGGACCTTCACCCTCCCCCCCCCAACAAGATGAAATTAAAAACACAACATAACCTCAATAACGGTCAATCGTTCAGCATGTACATCCTCACAATGCCTCCCCTATCACTATGCACCACACAGCTATGATCAGGATTCACCCAGATCTTCAAAGTTGACTTTCCTACTCCGCTTAGTCTCTTCCTTCTTTTCCTCCTCAGCAGAATCCTCCGACCTGAACAACGCCGTCAGATTGAAATTGAGCTTTCAGAAACAACCGATATCGTAGGGATATACGTTCGCTTCCCTCAGGAGCTGAAATTATACAAGTTTGTCTAAGAATTCGGGTAGAAGTGTACAGAAACCAACAAGAACTTCCCAAAATTTCATCACAATTTTCATATTGTCACCAACCCATGTATTGATCACGTGAACATATCTTCCCATAAAGCCTATAACTCCATAACTACATCAATACGCCCATAAACCACATAGTAAGGACGCAATTTCGTGGCGCGTGACGGATCCCAACTGACCATTCCTCATCAACTCGTGCATCCATCCTCCTCAACACTTTCTCCCCTCCTGCCAACGCTTTACACATCCGTTCATATCTCCTCTTCGTCCTGGGGTACATCGGCAACAACTTCAACATCTCTGACCTCAGCAACGACACCACCTCACTGAACTTCATACATCTCGCACTTCCTTCTCGCACACCTT